TCTGGACTCCCGTTACAACACATTACTCCATCTCCTGGTCCCCAGTCTCTCTTCTTTGTAATCGCGACCGGGTCTCAAGCTCCGCCAATGACCTTAGCTGTCGCAAAATACGAAAGAACGCGAAAATCTGAAAACAGCGAAGCATAAAAATGGTTTTCCTCCAAAGAGAACGTGCTGAACCAATATGTACAAAAATAAATAACAACCGCACTTAACGAGGCTACTCAGTCCTCCATCTGTAAAGAGTCTTGTTGGTCTCTGCAGCTCGGCTCATTAAGGAGGTCCAGCGACTTTTGAACCTGTCCCACAAAGCCTGGGAAGTTGGGATCACTGAGACAGAGCCTGACCAGCCCGGTCAGAACCTCGGATGGCCACTCGGTTTGCCAAGCTGCGGCTGCTGTCGGCAGGAAAGCCAACGACTCATTCGTTGTCATGGCGTCGAGCCAACGTTTCACCGCTACCTCGTCCACCGTTGGCAATACTGGCGTCTCAAGACTGAGCTGCTTTACGGAGACGAAGAAGGCCAAATGTTTGTAGCAGTCCATAGCCTCCGCCTCAGCATAGAAGGTAAGACGAATTCGTTTCGTTCTTCCGCGCTCGCGAATCATCAGCATGATTTCGTCCTCTACAACAGAAAGAAGTTCTCAGAGAGTGTAAACCTTACCTGAATTAAATTTGATAGAGGAGCATAAAAACTGGGCTTCCGTCTCTTCATTTTCTACCGATAATTCTTCTCTGGCGACGCTCTATTTTCCCCATTCATAAAGTAATCTGACGAAATGAAATATGATAGGTCGCATTTCTGACTTCATCTAGTTGGAACTGTTAGCGCGTCAAAGGAGAGGTGTAAAAGATGCATCTGTTTTGGATAAATAAGTCCAAAAAGCGAAATGAGTGCAGGATGCTTTTGAGGCATACTAACGCTGTCATCCTGTGTAAGATTTCGCGAACAGGTTGCCAGGCATCGGGCCATCAGGTGGCAGTAGAATACTTGGTTGTTACCTCAGAGAAAGGCAACCCCATTATCTGGCAGTTAACGTTGCGCAGACGCTGTTAAAAGCACTGAAATGATCATTCTATTAGAATTTAGATACAATATATGTAGTTTTCCTCTATACGAACGTGTGACAAGCAGAATGCGTTAGAGCAACCTTACCAATACGAACGGCTTTTATCCACTTCTTGGCCAATATCATAAAGTAGGATTCCACCACTTCACTGCCTTGAAGAACGGCAAGATGAGCAAACTCGGATATTCTGACGATTAGGGCGGCTGTCGTGTGGTCCTTTATCGTCTGCCATACTCCGCCGGGGACATTTTCCGTGGCAGACTGTGATGTGGTTAGGTCAGTGGGCTCTGAGACGCCACCATTCTGTGCAGGTCTGTCCAATGTTTCCCCTCGAAAACATCGATAAGCTGCGATGCGCCACTCAAAGATCTCTGGACTTTCCATCTGTAAAGGTTTAAAAAACAATGTGTGTACTTGTCACATAATTATTTTGAAAATACGTAGAAAATACCAGTCTGCTTAAGTAAAAGTTAAGACTAATTTTAAAACACAAAAGTATAAAATTAGGCTAGGTATACGTAGGTTAGTTTATTTCGGTCGACAGTGAATTCTGGGAGTTAATTCATCTGCATCTTCCGAAAATGATTGGGCAAGTTCTGCTGGATGCAACCTGAAGAACAAAAGAAACATTTCCAGCTACGAGTACGAGTGTCCGAAATATAAATTTTAAAAGATATTGAATGCGCTTCTTATGTATTAGGATTTGGTGACGTTAAGAAAGTACTTACGCTTTCTGAAAAGACATATTAAATAGCTTTAAAGGCATCTATCAAAGAAACTTAGTCAAAATGGCACGCATGTTGAACTTTAACAGGTTTATATGCATACTTCCTTTATGACGTTTGATATATCCGAATAGTAGGCCAGTGATAAATTTGTAGCACCATGTTTGTACATCAGCCCACATCAGCATATTTTCGAATGAAAAGCGCTCGAGTAATATTGTTTGTTCAACGGCAAGTACTAGGCCAATCGACGCACATGATAGTAAGAATAGGTTCTCATCACAAACTTTAAAAAAAATGAGCGAGATTTCTAGTCCATTTTCGTTCACCACTTTAGAGTCTAGTATATGTACATGTATATGTAAGTCTATGCAGACAGTGGAGAACCGACAAGTCGTTTTTTGCTTATCAGCCGATCTAGAGGCGATGTTTCGCTGATACCTCTGGCATCCTAAAGACCCAACACCCGACAGTCAGCATTCCAGGATCAGTTAACTGAGAACAAAAACGAGGTCTAGGCCAACTCATTCTCATACACAACCTGCTTAAAACCTCTAATCTGGTCCCTTTGATTTATAAGCAAGCTCACGGGATCTCTTACAGGCGTTCTGCACTGTGAGGAGATTAGATTTTTGCCTTGCCTTTGGGTGGTTTTTTGAATTTCCTACCACGACCAATCTCAGATGTCATTCATTTAAACTGCGCGTTAAGTAGACAAGGCTGGATGTGCGCAAGCTCTCCTTCGCTGTCAGCGTGGTCAAGCCTAGGAATACTCTCCCCATAGATGTTGTGATGTCATTATCGTTAAAATGCTACCACGATGTAGATGTTGAATCAGTTCGCTTGACTATAAAATAAGAGAAGAACTTGGGAAAGGGGTTGGTGCAACTTGAAATTTATTTTAGTAGCCTTACTTTTACAGCGTTTGTTCTTCTTTTTAGTCTCCAACCAGGACAGTGACATCTCTAAGAAGCCGAATCTTCGGCTGACAAACTGTAAGTAACTATAAAATTAGACCTCAATTATTCTAAAATACCAATCATTCTGATAAAACAGTTTTTTCTCTGAACTACGAAATAGGGCCTCAATGATTTCAGTTTTAACATCATGAAATTTTTCGTTTAGACGCAGAAAGTGAATAAGATTTGCTTTATTATATGCTAGCTTCTTGCTAAGCAAACTGTTTGGTAGACATAAATAGCCAAAATGTGACCATTATAACCAGCCTAAATATGAACAGCGGACATAATTGAGGACTTTTATAAGACTGCCATTTTTAATAAATGAATAATTTAAGAATGCTCTAATGGAGGTAAGCAGAAGGAGTGTAATTGAGCTTTTGTACTTTAAACTCCTGAGACGCAGTTATTATGCTGTTTTAAACGTCTTATAAAATAACAAATACCCTAGAAAATGGTACAGACAGAGTAAGTCAAGGTATTTACAATGGTGTGTCTAGTAAAATAAAAACGTGTATTCACCAAACGCATGCGCATGCGCTATTGATGGACTGCCTTTATATCGTAAAAATAAGTGTGAGTTTTGGCCAATTCTTGGCCGCGTTATGGAGCCTTTCGTAAGTTAAGTGTTTGTCGTAGGAATTTATTCTGGCAAAGGCAAAGCTTCGGATGTCCAGACCTACTGTTAGCCTTTACTAAAGGAACTGTTGTGGTTATCTAGGCATGGCGTTTATGTGGACAGTCTGCAAAGAAGGCTTGAGTTTAGTGTGCGAGCTGTCGTTGCGATGCTCCTGCTAGGGCGTGTATTAAACAAATTAAGAATATGAATGCGTATTACAGTTGTGAGCGTTGTTTCGTGGAAGGTGAGCATGACAAAGGTTGTTTATGGCAATGTTACCAAGCGCAGAAGAAGCGATGATGATTTTCGCAGAAAAAGGGACGACTGTCATCGTATTGGCAGGTCACCCCTTCTAGCCTGCAATGTGGGGAGGGTAACATGTTTTCCGTTAGATGCCCTTCACCTAGTTTACCTAGGTGCTATGCGCCGGTTACTAAAACCGTGGCTTAAGAGTCCACAAAGTACGCCATATAAGTTATCACGAGAAGAAGAAGCAACTTCGGGCTTCGGTGCTTATGGATGTTGAGAAGGACTTTCTCTTTGTGGTCTCCC